AAAAAAAAAAAAAAAAAAAAAAAAGACTGCTTGAATTTTTGTAGAGAAAAAGACAATCAAGTATATTTTTTCAATATCTGGAAAGAGTTCTAATACAAGGAAAATGTATCATTTGAGTGACCCAACGAGAATATACAAGTATCTTATGCTGCCCTGTATGGTATCTGGTGTCCCCTTTGTGATCAAAGAATGTGTTCTTTTGGAAGAAAATAAGATGGTAATAAAACTGCTGTTTAATATCATTTGACAGAATATTTGGCAAAATTTCCTGACATATTGATGTGAACCCAATAAACAATATACAAGTTTACGTAATATGTATGTAACTATAGCCGGTTGTGCTTCTGTAAATCTTTGAATATAATATATTTTTCAACCATTTAAGTAACATATAAACATTAAAAATTATTTATTGTTCAACCAATATTTTCCAATAAATGGTGTTTTTTTTTTTGTTTTGTTTGTTTTTTTTTTTTTTTTTTTTTAGGATTGAGCCATGAGAAAATTTTATCTGATTTTTAATCAATGACATTTTATTTTTCTTTTGGTAGCATCCTAATAATTCTTAATAATGGCATCCACTTTTGCAGTACTGCCTTGACTACCAAACTCTGAAATATACTATATAGATAGACAGATATAAATATGCTGTTCATTAAGGAAGCAATTCCCCTGATCTAACAATAGACCATGGAGAAGGGTTACACAACAGAGATCAGATTAATATGACCAATAAGGAAGTGAAATGAATATATACCTTCGTAACACATACACACAGGTGGATACATTGTCATATTTTCATACACCCCCCTCCCTCCCCCCCACTTTCCCCTCTTTAAATTACATACACATGCACAAATACAAATATAAGAGTATTTATGGAGTCAACATACTCCATACACAGAGATTTATACAAATTACAAGATAACAATATCATATCTTATTATCAGTTTTCTTCCTGAATGATATAAGAGTCCCATTTACGTGTAACATAATATATGTGTATTTGATACACAAGGTCCATAGTTTGAGAAAATTACCAACTGTGTATAATAACATGTTACCAAACAAAGAGTTTGATCCAGCAAAGAGATCAAAACAAGACGCAAAACAATTTAGAGATAATAAGGTCACTACATTACCAATTCTTGACAACAAAATCAATAAAAGTGTTTGTTTTCGAGAAAAGTAAATACCTGATCCTCATTATCTCTTCAATTCAATTCCTTTGTGGCTACAAGACAATCGACCAAACATAGATAACCAGAAAATACACTGCCTTAGGTAATTATACTAGTACCTGCAAACGTGTCAACAAAATCCAACACCGTAGTCGGAACTGAAAGACAGGGAAAGCACCTAAGCTTGGTCGTTGAAAAGAGTCCTCGATCCTTCTCCTCTCCGCCTGGAGAGTCTTCGCCTCACTTCATTGCTGAGCTAATAAACTGCAACCATAAATCACTGGGTTATAATGGCGGATTACTAAGATTTATGAAGGCAATTTGAGTAAAGATTTGGCCCTGTTGCTCTCATTGGTTGGTCCCTTATCAACCAGTCATGGTGAACTGGTGATAGGTAAGTGATAGGCGACCATGGTATGCCGTCTGCAGTGGGCCATGACTGGGAAAGTCCATTGGGTTTTGAGGGTGGTAGGGTTGGTTGATTTTGAGAGGAATATCTATGGGGACTTCTTCTACTTTTTTAGATTTATACTGTTACTGTACATGATGTGGCTGTGGGTGTGAGCAATTTTTGAAGGAGTGGAATTGATTATGGGTATATGTAAATGTTAAGATAGTGTAGTGTGCCAACATCTGAATCCTTTTAAATGTTGGGGAAATTGTGTATTTTACAGATACTGTATTTTTAGGTCATAATTTCAAAAAACTGGAACATTCCTAATGAGTGGTAGCAACAAAATTGAAAAGCAAGCTATCAAATACTTTTATTTTTTGCAGTAAAAGCACCTCAAATGCTATACAGAAATGTTATTTTTATGATTCTAAAATTATGCATCTGAAAGATTGATGATTTTTCTCCATTGAAAAGATCGAGTCATTATTGTACATCCTCTGCAATGATCCATACATGGGAAAATTCATCATTTCTTTCTTTTATTATTATTATTATTTTTTTTTTTGGGGGGGGAGGGGTTTATGGGGGGCAGATTTTTCAAAGTACAATGTACTAACAAAAGTGTAAGGTAGTGGAACATAAACATGACAGGAAGAAAAAAAATCATAATGGAGTTTAAAATTTCACATTTTACCTTAATGAACCCAATAGATTTTGTATTTAAATAAAATAGTGAAGTCAAAACCAGAAGAGGATGTTCAAGATAACAAAGAATCCCACTCCCTGAGCTCACAAAAGGTGACGGAGGGATGATTTAAAAATATCATATTAAAAATAAAGACATGTCTAACATAACAAAACTCCAAACCCTGATAATCACGGTTAGAAAGATGAATGAGCAAATATGAACATATGAGCAGCACATATGAATAAAAGACTTACGTTCAGGGTGTGAAACTGACTGATTGATTGACCAATTGATTGATTGGTTGCTTGATGATTGATTGATGACAGAAATACTCTATCCTTTGAAAATCAGGGTGATACAGTTTGAATAATGAGATATCATTAAAGAAAGAAGGATATACCTGATAATAGGAAAGAAATGCTTCCTTAAACTCAAAAGCGATAAGCTTGAGTTATGAAAGATCATTACCAAATGATCATTACCAAATGAAGATATGCCAAACACATGGCAGGAACAAGAAGCACCCTGAAATCCGTAATATAAAGCCTGGTTTTTTAACTTTGAAATAGAACTCAGAGAACAAAGAAGAAATACAATGTACTGAACCCACTCTGAAAATTTTTTCATTGAACACCAGTGACAATCACCGTGAAGCTCAGGGATTACTAGGAATAAATAAACCACACGTACCTTCAGCATGCCCGAGTTATTTGTGGCATATCCCTGGAAACTCAGGGTTATATGATAAAAAGGCAGTAATTGGTTTCTTTTATGACAGGCAGATGAAGATGGTGTCAATGGATAGAGATGGGGGGGGGGGGGAGAAATAGGTAAGCAGGTTATAGCTGCAGTAGGAAAGGACTCTTAAAATGCAACTGGCATGACTACATCCACTTTACCAATGGGTAGAGATGGAAGGTGGGAGCTGAGAAGAAATAAGGTAACCAGGGTCAGCTTTTAAAATTTAGACTATTACTGCAGAGGGAGTATGGCACTGAAAATAGAAAGAAAATGCAGAAGAGACAAGGTTGATTTTGTGCATGTGTGCATACTCATGCTTGGGTACTTGCGAGCATGACAGGGACGGAGAAAGTGACAGGAGAGTTTTACCATATTAGCCTCTTGACACAGTTATAGCGACACTTTGGATGTGGTAGGGTTAGAAACTTGCATGAGAGGATTTGGAGGATTGGGGGGGGGGGGTCTATTGATTCATATGCACTGATAAAATGTGGTTACTCTATTATCAAATTACACTGACATTATGATAGCATTAAGAGAGATTAAAAGGTTTTTTTATTAAAGGAGTCATATGGTTAATTTTATGTTTATTTAAGCTTTTATTCCTTCATCAATATTTAATAAATCTTACTAAATCTAATGGCTTTTGGTTTTGGATATATTAATACTTCTAAACAGTCCTGAGATGGATGTGTGGCATGGTTCTAAAAAACAATAATTATTATTGTCATTATCTTTCATGCAGTGTAATAGTACTGTCTTTGGATAGAAATTCGAATACAATAATATTTTAGATGTGGTCATATCATAAAGTTTCCGAACTCCTATACCCCCTCCCCCCATTTTTTACACCCCTCAAATCTCCCAAATCTAATTTGTATGTTCCTAACCTAACCAACCCTTCAAGATTTATTTTCTGATAGTTAAGGTGCACCCATTATTCTATCTTAGTTATCAGTCGTATCTACCACTTAGTTACATTATCATTTGTGCACTGTAAATATTGATCGAAAATTAAATAAATGGCGTCATGCACCATTCACCTAACCTTACCACCCTTTGCAATATATTGAAGCTCTCCTCTAAATGGCTTGTCAGCCTCAAAAACTTCTGTTAAAAGCTCTGACGATAAAACTCATCTGTGAGCTTTATTTAGATTTATGGTTAACCATTTATCAATTTCAGAAAAAGGAGATTCAAAAACTCATTACTATTGCATCATACTGCCTAACTCAGACAGGGAAATGTAATGGTTCTACCTCACTTCATTAAGCCTTTGTGTATGAAACCAAACTATATTAATGCCTTATAACTCATTAAAAACACTGACAGCAAAAATAAAATCTAAATACCTTCTATTACGTAACACTAACATCACAAAATCTCCCACTTAAAAGATGGAAATTTTTCCAATTTCCACCCTTTCATCAGTAATGCTGTGTGATCGTCACCTATCTACCATTCTATGACATCAGCTACATACAATCACTCCATTTAAAAAGCACATTTTTTTCCAGTTCCTTTTCCTTTGATCTTTGACCCAATGTGATTTTAACCAATCCTGTGTAGGACGTTTGATTATCACCTCCAGGCAAGTGTGAAGGAACTGCGATAATAAAACAATCGGGAACGCTTGCTTGTTTCAAACATTCACTTTCCCAGGATTCATAACTTATTGTATGTTACTACCAACAATGAAAACTTGACTTGAACTTCATTTATGAACGTCAATTATAATTCTTGATCAAATTATTTTGGACTTATAAACAAAACAAATTAATAAATACAATAAATAAATTCTTTTTAACTTAATGAGAAATTAACATGTACAGACCATTCATCAAGGTAGCCCCCCAACTTCAGATTAGCAATATCTTCAAAAGGTCACAAAAAAAAAAAAAAAAAATATATATCTATATATATATATATATATATCACCAAGTTTTAACTTTGTAAATCCAGATTCATGTCCTGTTTCATGATATGCAGGGCCCTAATGTCTGGACGATAAAAAAATGGTGGCAATGCATCCTCATCAAGAGCGATACCAGTTCCCAAAATAAAGATTTGAGTAAACATAAACCATATGAACAAACAATCCAGTTTTCCCCCCTTGGTTACACTAGAGTGAGCACATGTTACTGTTGATAAACTGGTAGAGAAACTCGCTGGAGGTCAGGAAAGGAGCAGGAATTAATCAAGTAGTTTCACAGGCAATTTCTTTTTTCTTCTTCAAAAAGGGATAAATTCATTTTAATCCAATTACATACTGTGACCAGTCGTTCAAATGCTCTGAGAAGTAAATCTTGTAAGATTTTCTGCAATTTACGTATCTAAATCAGCTCAACTGATGCAAACTTGCGTTGTTTTTCTGCTCACTGCGATTGGATGTGAGCACAATTAATCAAACCGGTGACTTGTATACACCATTTCTGTATATACTGCAGGGGGGCCTGTAGGTACTAATTTTAATTAGTTCTTATTAACGCCTGTCACAATGACAGTAATAATTATTTGAACAAGGTGGAAAAACAAGTTCCACCAAAATCACGATCCGAGAGAAACAGAATTTATCTGCAATGATCTTGATGGAGTTTGGTCCACTTAAGGGACAGTTTTACCAAAGCGTTTATGTATGAAAAAGAACTTTATATTACATATAAATAATACTAGTTGAAGCTTAACCATGTGCACCATGCATTATGAAAGATTCAGAGAGGAGGGGAAATATGACATAGAAAAGTGGCAGGTACACGCCCAAGCATCTTTTGGCAATGGGCCATATTTGTCCACAAAAAGGTACTGCGTAATTGGTCAACTTAAAACTGCACATAATTAGGAAGTTTATGAATGACAGTCCATGTATATGTACGCCGAGGTAACTAGGAAAACCTGATAATGACTGCAATCTGTTAACAAAGCCATTTAGTGAAACTGCCAGCACTGAAAAACAATGCAGAACTAATGAGCGTTAGAGTTTCAAGAAGACCATGAACTGGCCTGTAGCCTGGGGTTCTGTAGAAGTTCGAAAGAGTTGTCTATTTGGCCGTAAAATATCCACTCTGAATCGTAATTAGATCTAGATTTTCTCCTGCTCACAAATCCTGCTTGGCTTGTCTGCTTTTTTTAAAAAGGTAAAAAGGTTCACCTTTCAAGAAAAAAAGATCTTTAATCCCCCCCCCATTTGAAATTGCTGACTATTAGCCTAATGTGTATATGTAGTGCTGTAATAAATGCTGTGATCACCAAATTTCCCCACGTCATTTTATCCACCATAAACAGGCCTACCCAACTACCAGATTCGGCACCTAAGGATCCTGAATTAACCGGTATATCGGACCACGCTACCCGTTTTTAAGGTGTGTGTCAGATCGCATTTCGGAGTATCATACCCCAGAACAAATTTTGTAGCACGACTGCGGGCTCATCCACGCTCGGCTGAACAACCTTAAACTGTACTCTTACTTTAGAGTACTCTATTTCATTGTCTCTATGGGGATATATGGGGACTTTACGACATTCCGTTTGAATGTTTTAACCACTTTTGATAGGGCTTTTTTTGCATTGTATTAGATTAATGTGGCAGTCTAAGGTTCATCTAGGTGGCTTTCAAATTTATGCACCCGGTTTTAAAATCATATAGCGATTTTACGACAATTGTTTACTATCCAATCAAGGTGACAGCCGAACATGCCAGGGCTCATCCTGTCGGTGTTCTGGCTGATACTCCGAAATGCGATC